TCCAAAGTCTTCATAAGATGGTATCATATACTCAGGATACTGTGTATTTACATTTTAGACTTGTAATTTTTTACTATAACATAGTCTATAACAATGTCAATAAAGATTGTATTCACTTATGGCTTGTAACAATGTATGTATGCACTGTAGTTTGAACACCAAAAAGATCAATAAAAAAATTTAAAAAAACTTGTTTCAGATATTGTTTCGATAGCAGACATAGTGTCTAACACGTTGTTTAACATTTTCCTGTGATGTAGTTCGAAATAAAACAAACAGAAACAAAAACATATGTAATTATGTACTCTGTACTTCTGTATGGATCTTATGAAACATACATGTAATGTTTCAGAGACCATCGGCAGGAAAACAATCCTAATCAATATATTGGAGTCGAGCACACCTGCTACGTGCGTGGTTTTAACTCACAACCTCAGTGTTGACAGTCTAGTGATTGACTGATTGATTGGTCTTTTCCTTTACACAGCCTCATCACAAAAATGATATATCGCGGTGAGTGATACAGTAGATGAACTACTTAGATCACTCGGCTATCGAGGCCTATTGTCCTACAGACATTATCCCAAATCGTCTTTCATTGATATTTGTACGACAATTTCAGAGTCTTAGCTTTTAAAAGGTAAATAATTTTTCATTTGTAGTTCATTCAACTTTTTATAACCTTTTTGTCTCCCAATATAGAATTAAAACAAAGCAATAGAATAAACTTTCCAAATCTATGAAAATTGATTTTTGTACACTTTTGTTATTTTACATTGTAATAAGCAAATATAGTTGACGATTAACAACCAAATATAAATCCTCACTCAGGTATGAAATGATTTGCTGGAGTAAAAGTTCTCTCTTTCATGTTCGCATGTTCGTGTGTGTGTGTTTTTTTTTTTTTAATTTATTCAAAATGTTAAAGTATTGAATTGTATCATTATAGTAATTAACAATCGAACATATGTAAACCGTGATACGATCCGTGTACACCTTTTGATCGTTTGAATAAACTTATTTAACATGGGAAGATCTTTTGATATTATTTTTATCGTTACAAACATTGATTTTGTTATCAATAAATTAAATGTAACTAAACGTTATTGCTATACAGCCACAACCATTTAGGGTCTTACATTCTGAGGATACCTGTATTTTGGCATTGCACAAGATCATTTTTTTCTCGGACTATTTATGACGTCTTTACACAAAATCCATTGAATGTAATCTCTCAGGTTTGTATGTTGTGTCTTTAGTCTTTTTTGTAAGTTTTTTTTTTTTTTTGTGCATTGTGTCGATCAAAACTGATTTTTATTTTTTGTTCTTATGTCATTTATGTAGTTCTGTTACGGTACCTCCAAATATGTTTAAACCCGCAATATTCTGTTTGTGTCTGTCCAAAGTCAAGGGATGCAACTAAGTGGTTGTCGTTTATTGCTGTACATCACATCTGTTTTCGTTTATGTTTTGTTCATAAAAAAGCCGTCAGTTTTCTCGTTTTAATTGATTAACATTTGGCATGGCGAGGCCTTTTATAGCTTGCTATGCCGTATTAGTTTTTCTCATGGTCGAAGGCCGTACGATGGCCTATAGTTGCTATACTTTAATGACGACGAATATGTTCCAATTGTCGTTACCCACATCTCGTCCTTTTCCTCGAATGTGACCTATCGAGTAAAACTTATCACCGTTTTTTTCTACTTGCGTTAGTAACATGACGGATGCCACATATGGGGCAGGATCTGATTACCCTTCCGAAGCACGTGCGATCACAACCCCGGTGTTTTGGTGTAGTTCTTGTTGCTCTGTCTTTAGTTTTATATGTCGTGTTTTGTGTGCTATTGTTGGTCTTTATGTCGTTTTTCGTGTTTGCCATGGCATTGTTAGGACTTATGAGTTTGAATATCCCTTTGGTATCTTTCGCCTCACTTTTATGTCATTTTGGTCTCAGCTTGAAAGTTGTCTCATTTTCAGTTGTACTACATCTTCTTATTTTAAAATCGAAGAACAAGCGGTTTTTTTTAAAGAATTCTTATATACAAAAAGGTGTACAAATGCTATAGAAATGAATCAAGCCATAACCATCCATTTTTTGGTCTGTTTTCTATTAAACCTGCGCATCTGCAGTGATTTCTTTATTGTAAATAAAAGGACTACTGAAGGGATTATATGTAAATCAAGGAATAGTGTCAGAATTGGGTTTCTGGGTAGTATGCTTGGAATTGGTCTTGTACCAACGGGGTCTACACCTTGACGACTTATGATGTCTGGAGCCAAGGCCTGAAACAATATTCAATAAAACTTGAAATAGTTTTATGTCTTTATTTCCAAAGAGCGCATGTAAAAGTCTAATTATAATAGCAATTATAATATAAAATGACAAACAATATTCATAAGTATAAATCAATATAATAATGCAAGTATAATGCCAATAGATAATGCAATAGACCTATCATAACTAAATATTTCATAAATATTCTGAAACATGAACATAATGCATATCGCAATACTTAATGTATGAGCAACATCTCATGTCTTTTGCATAAATATTCTAAACATTCAAATATAAACATGGTAGAGCATTTTAAGGTATTTGGATAAACTTTATTCTAAATACTGAGAATAAAATAAAGGAATAATATAAACATCTTTCTTATGAAACTCCAATTCAGACAATGAGGTTACTTATCTAACCATTTCTCTGTTAAGGGGGATAACTCTTGTTTAATCTGTTAAGGGGGATAACTCTTTACACAATAAAAAGGGGGGAACAATTGCAGAATAGAAACTTTCTATCATGAAATCATGTTACGCAATGAAAATTATATAATACTTTGTTGTTGGGAACTAGCTATGGAATATATGCCTTACATGTATACTTGCTAAAAATAAGTTTACTAAATAACGTGTTATTTATAGAAAAATAACAAACCATGTGTTTGCTGACAATAACATGTCAAATAAATTGCACATCAAGAAATCATACCTAAAAAGGCTTTTGAATAATAAGACCTTACCATTGGAAACATTATAACTTCAATGCAATAGTAACTTTAAGGTGAATTATTATTTCTTGTCAGTGCGACAAAACAGGCGGATGTTATAAATAACTATAAAAACAGATAAAATAAGTATACCAATTTTCCGATCAGAAACAAAGACTTTTCTTATAAAAAACATAATTTACAACTATTTACAATTATAGCATAAAGAAAATATCTTTATAATTAACTCATTTATAAGATAATAAAAGATGAAAACTCTTATTAAATAAAATAACTATGAAAATGCTAAACATGAAGATTTTACAAAAAGGAAAATTAAATTCTATTTCTCTTCAAAAAGAATAAAGCATGAGCAAATTAATAACTTTATCAGAAGTTACTTTTAGGTAATGAAAACCTTTAAACTGAATGCTTTAAATCATATTTAACAAAATTAAATTAACTTTGCTTACCTGAAACAATATTCAATAAAACTTGAAATAGTTTTATGTCTTTATTACCAAAGAGCGCATGTAAAAGTGACGCTTTTTGGAATTAACTTTTTAGATTCGAATTTGGGGACTGTTTCAGGTTGTCCAATCAAAATTATCATTTAATCAAAAACCATGACAACTTTAGTCTAATTGACAGAAAATAGGTGGGGTCATAGGTGACGTGTATGACTAAAAAATATCTTAATTACTTATGTAATCTTGCTATCAATGTTTACTCTATACCATATTTGAGCCGGACATTAACAATAGAAATAATCCGAAATACATCTTATTACATGTCGGCTTCACTTTAAAAATCATATCTGTCAACACATTCTGACCATTGTCCAATAACTTCTTACGTAATCTATATATACAACAAATAAGGCTTACTAAAAGGAAATATGTTTGTGTGAAAACCAAACTAAAGCTATTAAAATGTCTGTCCAAAATTGCAATAAAATATTGAACTAAAAATTATTTGCTTTAAACTTAGAACTTTTCTAATTTTTACTGAAATTAAGAATTTCACAAAAATAATAAAATCTGATCAAAATGATACCATGACAACTCCCCCTTACTTCAGCTGATTTCGACCCGAAATCTTGACAATAGTTCCTGTAAAACACTAAGTAAAGTAGGGGTTAGTCATATACATATACATGATAATAAGTATTGTTCCATATATACAAAAGTAAACATACAAAATTTATATACATACATATATATACAATAATTGATCATAAACACAGGTCCTGAGTTACAAGGTCTTTTAAAACAATAAATGCATCAAACTTTGTCTGAAAAATGTTATCTAAAAAAATAATACTTTATCACTTAAAACAATTGGGAAAATATTCAAGAGGTTGAGAGTTCAGCACTACTTATGGAATATAACTAATTATTCTGTGAAATGAAGTATAAAATGATTAGACAAAAATTACTGCAAAAATACAGTTTATTTTTAAATGTTAAAATTTTCTAATAGAATCTAATAGTTGATTGAATAATTAATGAAATAACAAAAACAAGTTGCTTTTAAAGTAAAGATGATTATTCTAAATGTGGATATAAGGAAACAGAAGTCTGTTTTGAAGCTTGTTGCACCTTTTGAATAGTGCGTGGTGGATTCAAAACTGAAGCAAATCCCTGATGTGTAATCAAAACATAAGAATCAAAGGTCTGAGCTAATATTTTGTTAATTCTATGCCTTTTAAATACATTAATATCAATTGTAGTAGGGATGTTCACAGTCTTGTTGGTAAGCTTGTTTGTAATAACAAATGATGAAATAATAACATATAATTTACTCTGAGGAAAGGATGAAATTGATATATCATCTACAGATGGTATACTGAAGTTGTAATATGATGGACACAAAGATAAGCTAAGCAATGGTACTGTAACACAGTCAGCACCTGATGTAATCTCTATGTAAATGGTAGTGCATTTGGATTTTCTTGATCGATACAAAAAACAAATCAGTACAGATAAAAATATGAGTACAATTATACTCAAAATCACTGAGGCATGTAGCCAAGAAAACTGAGTAGCAAAAAATGTTTCGAGTTCTGATGCACTCGTAGTAGGTGGTGTGAGTTTCTTATATATAAATGATGGTATATCTTGAGATTTTACTTTTGAGACTTGTTGTAATACAAACATAGCTGTGGCTAACTTTCTAAACTTTAAAAACAAGTAAATACAAATTATAATGGCAAATGATCCTAAACTTAGTGATGTGATAACAAGAATTGCATTTAAATCAGGCCATTCTGATTGAATAGATATAATACCGTCTAACAAAGGTTCGCTAAGCGTTTTAAATATTTTAGAATCATTTCTGACTGCAGCAGTCATTTTCTTTAAATTTAAATGCATTTGTTGATCTGCAGCTAAAGTATTACTGATACTATGACTATATAAACTAAAATTTGGTACTGATAACTGAACTTGTGTAGAAAATAGTTTATCTCCTGATGTGGAGGATAATTGCTTATCACTAAAATATTCTTGCAATAATGCTAAATTTACAGGGTATTGTACTGACACTTCTTGTGTGTTGTTGTAACATTGGACTAATCTTGGTGATAAATATAATGATTTGTGGATAGTGAACACTTGCATGGTAAATTGACAACACAAAATTTGCATCCTGGTAGGAGATTTTGCTTGTTGTGACAATTAATAGCAAGCGTATCACTTTGATACACCAATACTGATGTGGAACTCAATTCAATGATGTCATGTGTTAAATGATTTTCCAAAAATCTGAAATTGCACAGGCTTTTGACCTGCTTCTTGTCATTGTTGAATAGTGCAATGGTGCATTGTTGAACATGCGATGGGATTAGTGCAATATTGAAACTGCATGTGATAACACTTTCATGCTGGCAATTAGTTAATTGATTAGAAGATAAGAGGAGGTAATAATCATGCTGGTGGGTAAGAGCAAAGAAGTCTGGTAAATCAAGCAGTTTAGTTGCATGCTTTAGAGTGTTATTTACTGGAACAGGTAGAGAAATTACTTTAAAAAGCTGAAGAGGTTGTGCATGTGATGAAACTGGAAATCTAAGTGTTAGGTATAAGATGGAGTGGTTACGCATAAACATAAAGTTACGGTTAGTATAGTAGAAAGAAGGATGTAACTGTGTTAGATAAAATCCTGGGTAAGATTTTGTTAATATACCTTGAACCTTATGGAGTGCATGTGTTAGGGTTTGTTTTGGCAATAATAGTGGTGAGACTCTGCCCATGACAAGGCTTTGCACTGCGGCTTGGAACTGGTCCAAATTGCTTCGTAATATATTGCCAGTATTAGTGAGGTTAATGAGTATTTTGGAAATATTAAACATGGATTGCTGTAAGGTAACCAATGACAAGTTCATTGAATTAGCCAATGTGGCTATCTCTTTTGAATTGGTTTGAATTCCAGACATCAGATTGGTTGTCCTATTGTCCATTACTGACATATAGGATGATAAGTGGTCATCATGTTGGTGTAAAACGTCAGACAATAATTCTGTTCTCTTATTGAGTGCATTTATATGTCTAGCAAGTAAATTAACATCACTCATTGTTGCTGTACCAAAAAGACCTTTAGCAAGTGAGCCAATAAATGGTAAAAATGAACGAATACTTCGTTTTGATGACAAAATAGTACTGTGAGGAATTAAAGTATGAATGGCTTTAATTGTATCTAATAAGTGCATTTCTGTAGTTTTATGTAAATGACTTATAAAATGAATCATCGCGTTAAATGTATTACAATCATGAACATGTCTTTGTCTCTGACACAAAGGTAACTCTTCTGATAAACGAATGTTCTGGGGAATTTGAACCTTAAATGTATGAAGCCATGATTCTTTGGCTAAAAACAGGTTTGCCTCTTCTTTAAAGATGACCCCATAGTTTATTCTTTGGATTATGTCTTTTTCTACAGTATAATCAGCACCCACTTGAACAAAACACAGGACCACCATTAGAAAGTACATCAGCCCATGCCAACTAGCTATGAATTTACCTACAAATATATTAAACAAGGGAAAAAATTTAGATGTGATGAAATTCGGGTGAAAGTATGAAGGCCTTACATACAATCTAGCACTATAGATCAACAGAGAATCTGTTTAGGTTTAAATCAATACATCAAATTTTTTCCTTACAAAAAAAAAACCCAATTAAAATCAAAAGTCTGCCGGCATGGCTAGCTAGTTAGCAGTGAATTGAATAATACTATCAATGGGACTATCCTTCGATGTCAAGTAACTTGGAACTGAAAATACATTTTTACTGAGTACTGAACTGAGTACGAACTTAAGATAATGAGTGCTAATGAGTTCACTTATTTATGAGTACTAACTTGTACGATTACAGACTTGTGCAATATAAAGTGGTATGAACTAAGAAACTCAAATCATTAATCTTAATTTGAATGATAAAAAAAAAAACAAAAAAAAAACTATGTCTTAATTAACGCATGAATACTACATGTACTATGAGCAAAACTACTTTTTTACTCTTTTGAAGAAAGATTTCTTTCTTTTACCTTTCTGGGTAAATCTAAGATTTATTTCCTCTAACATGGGAGGGTCAAAACTACTATCTGGTTCCCATGTGCGTGTCTAATCAAGCCATTCTACTCTCATGTACCTTTTACCATTGCAAAATTTACCTCTTTTAATTTGATGAAAATTAAATGATTGTTGCTCAATAAGAGGTTGATTTGTTTGATTTTCTGTATCATTTTCTAGGTTAACATCATTTTCAGTTTGTATGTTATCATTTGGCGGTTCTTCAAGAGGTTCTGCATTACCTGCAGTGTTTTCTGGTTCCTCTTGCACTTGTGGTTGTGCTTGAGGAGCTACATTTGCATTTTGATCTGGTGCATTGTTTTGTTGTGGTTGTACTTCAAACCGTTTGCGATGAATATTTGGATCATAGTAGCGCCTAAGATTTGTGGCATTTATCAATGATTTTAGTTCTTTATTATTTGATATTTCTTTCAATCTGTATGTGAAGTTTGGACCTTTTTCCATAATGCGATAAGGACCAGCATGTTTGTCATGTAATTTGCGAGACTGACCTTTAGGGACTTTATTTGTAGTTATCAAAACTTGGTCTCCAACAGAAAAATCAGGAATATTTGATTTAAGGTCATGTCTTTCTTTATCTTTTTCTTTTTGTTGCGCATCTCTTTGTTTTGCAATTTCATGCGCAATTTTTAAATTTGCCAAAAAGCCTTCTATATAATCTTTGACATCTTGACTTAAATTGTCTTTTGGTTCTAATGCTACATCAAAAGGAAGTCGCATTTCTTCTCCAAACATCATATAGAAGGGTGAATATCCTGTTGTATTGCAGGATGGTGATTTTCTGTAAGCCATCATTATGAAAGGGAGAAGGGTAGGCCAATTTGACTGGTCTTTATCGCAATATGCTCTTAAACATGCTGCTAATGTGCTATTTTGACGTTCAACAGTACCATTTGTATTTGCATGATATGAACTTGAATGGTGTTGTTTAACCTGGAAAACTTCACAAATTGCTTTGATAACCTTTGCCATGAAGGATTGACCTCTATCACTAAATAAAATTTTAGGACTGCCAAAACGGGCAAAAAATTCTGAGCATAATATAGTTGCTACCTCTTTTGCTGTTTGTGTTTTCATAGGGAAAGCTTCTGTCCAACGAGTGAAAGAATCAACTACTACTAAAACATGTTCAAAACCTTGTGGTGTTTTTGACAAAGGACCTAGTATATCAACATGCCAACGATGAAATCTACCAACATGCGGCATTGGAGACAAAGGTGGTTTGTTGGGGTTGTAATTTCTTTTAGCACGTTGACACCTATCGCAAGTTTTTATGTATTGGTTTACATTTGCATGCATTTTTGGCCAATAATATTTTTCCATCATAGAGGAATAGACCTTATCAGCACCTAAGTGACCTCCGCCTTATAAGGAGTCATGATATGAGTGAAGAGCCTCTTCTCTTAGACAAGTAGGCAATGCTATCTGTTTAATTTGCCTAAGTTCCTTTGGTAACTTCCTACATCTTCTCTGATATAAATGATACAAAATACCATTAGAAATAGAGTAATAAGGACTTTCAGATACAATTGCACGACTGAGTTTCTCATCCTCAGGAAGTTCTCTATCTTGCAGATATTTAATGATATCAGAAAAATCAGGACATTGTTTTGTGAGTGCGCTGTGATCAGTAACTATTGTGAAGTGAGAGTTAGCCAAATAAGGACGGTAGGATTCAACGCCTCTAATTATGGCTAAACACTCTTTTTCAGAAGTATAGTACTTTTTTTCAGCATCACTCAGTGATTTACCACCATAAGCGACAACATACTCTCTATTTTGATCATCTTTTTGTCCCAGAACATAGCCTATTGCTAGATCAGATGCATCACATGTCAAAATAAAAGGCCTATTTGGATCTGGGTAAGATAGAATTGGTGAAGAGAGTAAAGCGTTTTTCATGGTTTCAAATGCTTGTTGACATTTAGGAGTCCAGTTAAATGGTGCATTTTTGCGCAGCAATGCTGTCAAAGGCGAGACAATATCTGAATGACCTTTAATAAAGCGACGATAGTAGTTAGCCATACCTAAAAAACTTCTGACCTGTTTAACTGTTTTTGGGACAGGGAATTCACTAACTGCACTCGTTTTTTCTGGGTCAACCTAAACTCCATTTTTGGAAATAATGTGGCCTAAAAATTTGACTTGCTTAACTGCGAAATTACATTTTGTTGGCTGTAAACGTAAATTTGCCTCTTTTAACCTATCAAAAACTTGAGTAAGGTGTTCAAGATGTTCTTCAAAAGTGTTGCTAAATATTAAGATGTCATCTATGTAGACTAACAAAAATTTCCAATTTAAACCTCTAAATATTTGCGTCATGAGACATTGAAAAGTGGTGGCTGCATTCATTAAGCCATAACTAAGACGATTCCACTCATAGACACCAGATTGTGTGACAAATGCACTTTTATGTTTTGTCTCTTCATCAAGTGGAATTTGCCAAAACGAACTTTTAAGATCTAAATTTGTAAAGTAAAGAGGTTTTGCTTCACCTAATGTGTCAAAAACACTTTCAATATGGGGTAAAGGAAAATTCATAGGTACTGTGACCTTGTTGACCTTGCGATAATCTATCGCTAGGCGCCATGTACCTGTATTTTTCTTAGGAATCATTACTACTGGTGACAACCAATCGGAGTTAGACTCCTCTATAATATTATGTTTCAATAAATCTTGAATTTGATTTTCCATTTCCTTTTTAACTTGAGGTGACTGTCTATAAAAATGTTGTTTTACAGGTCGTGCACCAGGGACAGTTACAATTTTGTGTTTGTATACATTTGTTTCACCTAATTCTGTTAAATTTGTGGCAAAGCTTTTTCTGTTTTCTTTCAAAAATGATTTTAACTTTGTTTTCTTCATTTCTGTTAAGTCAGATTGTGATAAATCAAATTTTAGGTCAGATCCAGAGACTTTACTTGGTGTGTTTACTGATGAAACAGATGGAGAGCTTTTATCAAAGTTCTGTATGAGCTCAGTATTGACTTGTTCTACTTTAGCAATTTTCTTGTGTGCTCTTAACCTTACATTTTTGTCAGTTGGGTTAAGTAAACTTATATATGCTTGTCCATTTTTAACAGTAACTAATGACTTTGCTGCTAGTATGTTTAGATGCTCTATATTTGGAAGTGGCTCTAAAAGTACAGTTGAACCTGGCTGTTGATGTGAAACAGAGACACTAATTAAAGTTTGAGAAAATTTTGGTATTGTTACTGCTTTAAGAGTTCTTACTAAACCTTCACTTATACTAAGTTTACTTATTGTAGTAACTGTGTGATTTTCTACAATTTCTAAAGTATTGTTGTCAAAATTTAATTTTGCTTTGTTGTTTTTCAAAAAATCAACACCTAGAATTAGAGAGTGGTGTAATTGTGGTAAAATATGTACTACAGTTTTGAATTTTCTATTTCCTATTGTAATTAGAATGTCTAATTTACCCAAAACTTTAACATGTTCACCATTAACAGCTATTACACTTCTAATAATAGATGGTTGTAAAAATCTTGTGGAGTAAGGAGTTTTGTCTAGAAACTGCTTACTCATGACAGACAGATTTGCACCTGTATCGACCAATGCAAAAGTTTTTGACCCACCTACGTGGTGCTCTTATCAGCATCCAGTGTGGCTATTAAATTGATTACACCAGATTGCTTATCTTTGTGCCTATCTTTAGACTGTTGCCTAGAGACAGGCTCGCGTCCCTAGTCAGACTGTGAACCTTGAGCTCGCTTCAGTTTTAAACAAGCTTTTTTAAAATGCCCTAATTTCTTACAAAAATGACAAATTTTGTTTGATGCAGGACAATTAGACCTTATAGTACAGGACCTACCTCCACAAAATTTGCATTCTTTAGAACTTTGACCATGTTGACTGTTTGGTTGATGTCTGTCATTGAATCTCACTCTGTGTTGTTCTGGTCTGTTAACTGCAGACAGTGTGGTCTCCATTCTGGACAGCAGGGCAGTTAGAAGATTTGCTTGATTGGCTTCGCAGGATTGGACTGCAGATTGAACGGCGTGGTTGATGGTGGCAGTGAGGTCTGTTGGTGACTGAGGTTGTGCTGTGACGGAAACAGTAACCTCAGCTACAGCAGCAATTTCTCTGAGTTGCTCCATGGTCTGCGATCTATGTGGCATAATGATATGGGCCAAGTTCTTTCTGAAACCTTTTTCTGTTATACTGACGAGGAAATCCTCAGAAACACTATTTTCGCTGTTGAATGACATAGCTCTATGTATGTAATCATCAACAGATTCTGTATCTCCTTGTTTTAAGTCTGTGAGTTTAACACCTCTCTTGATGAGTGGCTTAAATCTTTTCAGGAATGCTTCTTTAATCGATGTTAACGATACTTTATACTTATTGTCCAAGACATTAAACCATTCCCTGGCTATGCCTGTCAGGTGGAACGGGAGAATCAAGATGGCTGACACCTCAGGCATGCCCTGTAATGTTACAAATGCCATAAACATGGCCCAGAATTCTGTGGCATTGCCCCTACCACTAAACGACTCGAAATTCACATGGTATCTGTGACCATGGTTACTAGCAAAACCTGGTGGTGGTGGTATTATGTGTGGCCCAGTGTTCACAGTGTTAGATGAGGTACCTGCTGTGGCTGTTGGTAATGGGGCTGTGTTGACTATCTCTTCCGGTTGTTCATTGTCTGTGGCATTAGTGGTAGCATTATTTGGTGCAGGCATATTGATGTTCTTTGATCTCAACCAGTACATACGTTAAATCTTTGGGATCTTTTAGTCCTCCAACCAGTTGTCAGAATTGGGTTTCTGGGTAGTATGCTTGGAATTGGTCTTGTACCAACGGGGTCTACACCTTGACGACTTATGATGTCTGGAGCCAAGGCCTGAAACAATATTCAATAAAACTTGAAATAGTTTTATGTCTTTATTTCCAAAGAGCGCATGTAAAAGTCTAATTATAATAGCAATTATAATATAAAATGACAAACAATATTCATAAGTATAAATCAATATAATAATGCAAGTATAATGCCAATAGATAATGCAATAGACCTATCATAACTAAATATTTCATAAATATTCTGAAACATGAACATAATGCATATCGCAATACTTAATGTATGAGCAACATCTCATGTCTTTTGCATAAATATTCTAAACATTCAAATATAAACATGGTAGAGCATTTTAAGGTATTTGGATAAACTTTATTCTAAATACTGAGAATTAAATAAAGGAATAATATAAACATCTTTCTTATGAAACTCCAATTCAGACAATGAGGTTACTTATCTAACCATTTCTCTGTTAAGGGGGATAACTCTTGTTTAATCTGTTAAGGGGGATAACTCTTTACACAATAAAAAGGGGGGAACAATTGCAGAATAGAAACTTTCTATCATGAAATCATGTTACGCAATGAAAATTATATAATACTTTGTTGTGGGGAACTAGCTATGGAATATATGCCTTACATGTATACTTGCTAAAAATAAGTTTACTAAATAACGTGTTATTTATAGAAAAATAACAAACCATGTGTTTGCTGACAATAACATGTCAAATAAATTGCACATCAAGAAATCATACCTAAAAAGGCTTTTGAATAATAAGACCTTACCATTGGAAACATTATAACTTCAATGCAATAGTAACTTTAAGGTGAATTATTATTTCTTGTCAGTGCGACAAAACAGGCGGATGTTATAAATAACTATAAAAACAGATAAAATAAGTATACCAATTTTCCGATCAGAAACAAAGACTTTTCTTATAAAAAACATAATTTACAACTATTTACAATTATAGCATAAAGAAAATATCTTTATAATTAACTCCTTTATAAGATAATAAAAGATGAAAACTCTTATTAAATAAAATAACTATGAAAATGCTAAACATGAAGATTTTACAAAAAGGAAAATTAAATTCTATTTCTCTTCAAAAAGAATAAAGCATGAGCAAATTAATAACTTTATCAGAAGTTACTTTTAGGTAATGAAAACCTTTAAACTGAATGCTTTAAATCATATTTAACAAAATTAAATTAACTTTGCTTACCTGAAACAATATTCAATAAAACTTGAAATAGTTTTATGTCTTTATTACCAAAGAGCGCATGTAAAAGTGACGCTTTTTGGAATTAACTTTTTAGATTCGAATTTGGGGACTGTTTCAGGTTGTCCAATCAAAATTATCATTTAATCAAAAACCATGACAACTTTAGTCTAATTGACAGAAAATAGGTGGGGTCATAGGTGACGTGTATGACTAAAAAATATCTTAATTACTTATGTAATCTTGCTATCAATGTTTACTCTATACCATATTTGAGCCGGACATTAACAATAGAAATAATCCGAAATACATCTTATTACATGTCGGCTTCACTTTAAAAATCATATCTGTCAACACATTCTGACCATTGTCCAATAACTTCTTACGTAATCTATATATACAACAAATAAGGCTTACTAAAAGGAAATATGTTTGTGTGAAAACCAAACTAAAGCTATTAAAATGTCTGTCCAAAATTGCAATAAAATATTGAACTAAAAATTATTTGCTTTAAACTTAGAACTTTTCTAATTTTTACTGAAATTAAGAATTTCACAAAAATAATAAAATCTGATCAAAATGATACCATGACAACTGTATGATAATAATATACAAATACAATATCGGGAAGTAAAGGATAGAAAACGGAAGTTCTCTTAATCTTATCAATCTGAAAAGGATGTTAATCAAACTAAAATTAAATTGTTGTTAACCGAATAAAATTATTTTAGTTAATGAATAGAAGTTTCCTGCTTGCACAGTTTCGTTCATTGCAACATGAGCAATCTAAAAAATGATCACAGTTTCCTCTGTTCGGAGAAATATAACAATTGAATTGAAAGAGAGAAAAAACTGGTATACTAAGGACAGTAGACTATAAAACGTTTTCATGAGTCTGAAAAATAAACGAATGACAAGGAGGTAGGTACCTTTATATTTAATGATCAGCATCCTATGTTCATCTATTCACAAAGACATATACATTTTCGTCTAAGTGATAACAATTTTCTCTGTTCGGAAAAATAGAATTATAATTGAAAAATAAAATAAAATAGGTTACTACGGTTAGTAAACTATTGATCTCTTGAGATGACAAGGAGGTAAATAGATATAAGAAGATGTGGTATGAGTGCCAATGAGACAACTCTCCATCCAAGTCAACATTTATAAAAGTAAACCATTATAGGTCAAAGTACGGTCTTCAACACGGAGCCTTGGCTCACACCGAACTGCAAGCTATAAGGGGCCCCATAAATAACTAGTGTAAAACCATTCAAACGGGAAAACCAACGGTCTAATCTATATAAAAAACGAGAAACGAGAAACACTTACGAAAAATGCCTTCATATCTAATAATAACGACAAAGACATATGCAAAAAGGCAAACTGTGAATGGCCAAAAGATAAAACGTGAAAGACATCACACGGGTTTTTAACTTGTGATTAGTCGTTGAAGTTCAAAATAACGATGTTTTTTGTAAATGACTTCTTTCCCATGTTTTTGATATATGAATATGTAAAACATATTGAGTTTTGTTACGTTCGAAATGTAGGGGGAAAATGAATGTTAATCTATACGAAAAATCATGTATCAATAAGAAGAGTTTTGAAATATTTGGACAGAAGTTAGGTATGAGAGTCTGGATGGAGGGTTCTTCAATTCTTTTTCTTTAATTCTTCAGAGATTTTTCTGTATTTTTATCTTTATTCTTTATTCATTATATTTAAGCGCCCCATTATTCCTTATTTTTTTGGTAACTTTTTTGGCCTTTTTTATATTCTTTATATTGCTTCCCCTTTATTCTGCATTTTTTGCCCATTATTCTCTATTCTGTGAACCCAATCCAGACCCTCATGTATGTTTGTAGTGCTAAGAAAAAATATAGATCGATCAATGTTGTCTGGAATGAATTCATATGATTAGAATGAATCAGCAATATTAACAAATGTGAATTAGTTACATGTAGTACCTATTTACATTTAATAAAGTAATTGCGATAAAAGTTTGTTTGAAGAAAATTTTATAAAAATATGTATTCTATAAATTTATATCTGTAGATTCCAAGAAAGATGTTTATTTCAAACGAAAGCCTCAGCAACATATATCTGGAAGAACTGAATAATGCTAAGGTTAAGTCATTGATACCAAATACTGTACTTATATTTGCGTTCCTACTCGCCAGTCTAGTCGGTAATGGTTTGGTTTTGTTCGTTTATAAATTTAAACTTAAATCAAAAACAGATGACAGATATTTCATTCCATGTTTAGCTTTGGTTGATATGATCGCCTGTAGCATTGGAGCAACACATTCGATTTCTATGAACTTTAATCCATTTAATTTTCGAAATGACTTAATATGTAAATTAATCTGGACTTTACACCAATCGATTTCCTTGAGCTCGGCTCTGTTGCTATTAGCAATTGCTGTGCAACGGTATATCAAGGTCAGTCGACTATTGAACTCTTCCATGAGCCTGAGAAGTAAACGATTGACTATTATATCAATCTTGATTGGCTCAATTGTTATATCAGTACCCTGTTTGGTTTTGTACGGCGAAGATGAGGTTGTTTTGAAATACGAAAACAGAACAATTACGGGATATAATTGCGGAGCTGTGCCAAATGTGAATCGATATTTTCTATTTGGGTATTCAGTTACATTGTTATTGATGTGTTTGTCTGGGATTTTTGCACTCATCATATTATATTGCTTGATACTTCGTATAATATACAGACAAGAATCTTTCAGGAGGAGAAATACTTATCGACCAAATAAACACTCTTTAAACGTCAGAGCACAACACAGTTCAGGAAATACAATTCAAACAGATATATCCAATTAACAGATGCTGATTATTCTGTCGACAAAACTGAATCTAACAGCTCAAAGATGATTTCAATGACGAAAAGCAACCAACAAGAGAACACTAATGGAGGATCAGATATTAAGGGGCATATATCGTCTGCAATCCAAACAGGACATCAATCAAAATTTGTCAGAATTATCTGCCTTATTACGCGCAAACATCGATTCTCTATCATGTTCTTTCTTATAACAATACTATCTTGTATTTCTTATCTTCCTAGAATTGCACTGATGATTATAGAATCAGCTATAGCTAGTTTCTGGGATAATTTAACGGATACGGAATACGTCATAGCTTTATGTGTTTACAGAGGACATCTTCTCAATACTGTTGTTAATCCTGTCATATATTTGGTTTTTGATACTGTCTTTAGGTCCTCATGCCAACAACTATGTTGTAGAAATTAATGAAATCATATAAATAAACTCACCTTAGATACCAGAATTAAAATATTGTACGCCAGCCGTTCTTTTCGTCTACATAAGACTCATCAGTGACGCTCGAACCAAAAGTGTTAAAAAATCTCCCATTGACTTCAATGTAAACCTTTTTCTTGAATTATTTTTTTTACCTTGTTTACCTTTAGAAATCTGAAGCTTCCATATGTCATTCATTAAAGTACACATGTAGCCACATTAATAGCATCAATCAAAACATATGGTCATGCGAAATGTTTAGGTCATTCACACGGCTTTGTTTAAAAGCACTGTAAATACGTACTAAATTCCTACACTGACCCTATTACTTTTCATTCCTGTAGTAAAAGAATAAATCGCATTCAACATTCATGTTTATAATTCTTTAACCATAGTTTTAATCCATCTTATAAAAAGATATCCAATACAAACATTATCTAGCAATCAGTGGAGCACCGGTCATTAGTGTTAATCAGAAAGCTGTCCCACAAATAGGCGGTCCTAGATGACGTATATTTATTTTTACTTTTCTTTGTGCGAAGTATATTAAAAGAAGAAATTGTGAATGAGGAACTTAAAGAATTAGACAAACTTATAGACGTGATGTAGTGGAATGACGTTAAATCTAAAAAATAAATTTACATACACCAACCTGACATTTGGGTAAATAATAAATCAATCAAAAGCTCAACATCTGCCGACTATCTTTTTTGCCCAGTCGAAAAAATATTCGTATTGTGCAATTTCCGTGAAATTAAGAGGAAACGTGATGCGGAAATCCTGGACAATAACGAAATTGTTTCATGGTTATTTTAAATTTCAACTAATGAGGAGGAGAAAATACCAAGGGAGCAATTACATACATTAAATAGAAGAAAAAGGCAACACAATGCCAAAAAAAAAACACGAAACGACAAACAGGTAAACAGCCAAACAGCCAAAATCACAGCCAATCATAACAACCCATACATGCAGTTGCCTAACAATCTTCCATCTGCAAAGCAACTTTTATCTGTTCTACGTTAAAAATATGTATGTAGTCAATAAAGGATTGAAGAAACACTATAAAAATGTGAAAGGTGTAAAGAAACTATTCACGGGTGATTTATGCTTTTGTTCAAATTTAAGAGCTAAACTTTGAATTAGACTGCGTCTATATGGCCCAATGAATCATACCACAGATACCGTTAGGTTTGCCTCATATCTCGTGTAACATTTAGAAATTGTATACGAGGCTCGGTTGAGAAATAAACATTTAGGCAAAAGAGATAATTTCAACTTCCAAAAGTGAACTTTCCATTTTCATGTAGCAACATTCAAGCAGCATGGAGTACCTGGTATTATATATCTCCAAGTTGATATGATATTCCAGAGCTTACGTTTCATATCATGAATTCTTTGAAAGATAGTTGTGGCTTACAGGCCTTTCCGAAAGCAATTGCATTAAGGGTCCCAAGTGGTTAAGTTGAAGTCCTCCAGTCGTAGACGTTACCTACACCACCGTGATTTGGTTAACCGATATATATGTTTCAAACTGCGTTCACCCTTGTCTGTGGTGGGGTTCGTGTTGCTCGATATTTTCTATGTAGTGTTTGTTATAACTGTTTTTCCTCATATCGTTTTATTGTCTGTTTTGGCCATGGTGTTGTCAGTTTTTTATTGGATTTATGATTTTTGATTGCCCCTAGGTGTATTTTCTACCTTTTTTCGAAAATGTATTGTAACCGCCAGCCTTGAAAAAAAAATCAGCAGGATCCACTCACCCTTCCGGAGCACATGAGATCACCCCAGGTTTTTGGTGGGCTTCATATTTCTGCATCTTTGTTTTTTATGTTGTATTTTGCAGACTGTTGTTTGTCTATTGGTCGTGTTTCGTTTTCTGCTATGGCGTTGTAAAGTTTGTCTCCGGCTTATTGGTTTGAATATCCCTTTTGTATGTTCTGCTCTTCTTTTGTTCAATCTTTAATTACATATAGACATAACTGGAACTCCTGAAATGACATTAATAACAAATTTGGATGTAAGTTAATTCATGAAATAGATAATTTGAAATTGTGAGAAAAAACCACATTGTATGTAAACTTTATCATCAGGATATTAATTTTCATAACTAAGTGTACATTTCCCGTATGTTGATATCTTGATCAAGCTATTTTGATTGCATTTAAAAGATTACCAAGAACTATAATCTTCCTTGTTTCAGTTATTTCCTACAAAATTTACAAAAGAAAACGAAGTCATTACCAAGTCTATACAAAAAATTCTTATTTTGTTTTAATAGGAATATTTCGTTCAATTAACAATACAAATGTATCTAAAGCATTAAGTTTGGGCAGTAATTCATGGTTATTTAATAATTAAGAAAATTAAAACGAAACTAAGGTTCAGACTCTCTCATCAAAAATTGACCTGAGATGAATATTACTATTATTTTATGTCCATTTTGGTCATGAAGACCTTAACGTGTCTACAAGTTTTACATCCCTGGCTTTCACATGTTTAGGTTTGAGAGTTTCTGATGAAAAGTAAATCCAGAAAACGCTTTAGAGGCACGAAATTTAAGAATCGTTATTTTCTTTTACTTTATTACATTTAATTTTGTCCTCACTCGTTTTTGTCAATATTTTATTCATATACAAAGATATTGAACTAAGAATGCTATAAATACATGGATAAGTGTGCGTAGAGTTTGTTAACTGTTATTTGTCTGTTGTTTTTTTTATATTTGGCCATGGTGTTCTCGTAACTCTTTGACCTTTTTTAATTCCCCTAAATATTTTTTTTGTATCTTAAAAAAAAGTATTCCTAAGGAACATCGCTAATAATAGCAGAGTTAGAAATATTGCTTCATTTATATATATATAGATATATATACAAGTCTAAATTGAAAACAACGTTCAAACCTACGATTGCGTTGGATAAAAACCGCAATTTTTATACGTGTGCATGCAAAACAAATTTCTTGGTAGAGGGGTCTAAATACAGCACAAACAACATTTTCCAAAAGACCAAAAAAAGTGAAAAAGTATATTTTAACAAAACGCATTTGACTAGCAGGTCGAACAACGGATGATCTTAAACCCTGCTGGCTGCCATTGGCGATTGCCAAATAAACGGATCACCAGATGGAACAAAATGGATCTTAATTATTAATCTTAATACCAAACAGAAAAAAATAAAACTTGCGGAAAAGATGGTTTACCGCAAACATGAGGTGCAAACATTGGTACACCATATCCGGATTTCGACAATTAATGTCTCTTCAGTGATGTTAGGAATCGAAACGGTATTTGGAAGGCCATATAATTTACCTCAATTTAGGATAGACTATTGCCTTTTGAAGAGTCGAAATAGGATGAACGGATCATATATATATATACAAGTCTAAATTGAAAACAACGTTCAAACCTATGATTGCGTTGGATAAAAACCGCAATTTTTATACGTGTGCATGTAAAACAAATTTCTTGGTAGAGGGGTCTAAATACAGCTCAAACAACAATTTCCAAAAGACCAAAAAAGTGAAAAAGTATATTTTAACAAAACGCATATATATATATTTTTTTATCATTTTATTATTCTATTATTACTGTCTACTGTCAGTACAAACAAATTGATATTTTTATTTATTAACAAATTCACTATGTCAAATGGAGTTAATTAGTCATGATAAAAGTGCATTATGCACCTCAAAGCTACTCATTACATATTAAATTTGTTACTAAAGTTAAGAAATTTATCACGGAATATTGCATATACATGTATAAAGCATTTTGAACAGGACCTCTGAATACCACAATGAAATTGAGATTGAAAATGAGCAATGTGTCAAAGAGACAACAACCCGACCAAATAGCAGAAAACAGCACAAGGCCACCAATAGGCTTTCAACACAGCGAGAAAATCCCGCACCCGGAGGCAGGCTTCACCATGTTAAAGGGGCATTAGCTACGAGATATAAAAAAAATTAAAAATATGACTTTTTGGTTCAATCATTCATGAAAGTCAAATAGTGAAATAATAATTCGCTCTTTTAGCAGCCAGTTTGGTTCAATTTTGTCAAAATAAGCTAAAAAAGATGGTTAACGTTTGGTGACTTGAAACCATCATTGTGTCTGAAATGAAATGTGACGAGAATAAAAACGAGAAGATGGTGTCACATGACGTTTAACACATGAGGACTCGAAGACAATTACTTTGTCTTAAATGAAGTGTGGCTAAGTCAAAACCAGGAGATATTGCCACACGACTTAAAGGGGCATTAGCTACGAGATATAAAAAAAATTAGAATATGATTTTTTGTTTGGTTCAATCATTAGTGAAAGTGAAATTGTGAAATAATAATACGCTTTTAGCAGCCAGTTTAGTTCAATTTTGTCAAAATAAGCTAAGAAAAATCGCTAATGAATTATTCAATTGCAAATGAATAATTCGACCTCATTAAATCCGTATTTATGTGACCTTCAATTTAACCTTATAGCTAGAGATAGGGTACGCCTGAATTAAGCGTGTTCAGTTATAAAAAGGAAAAGAATGTCAACATTGAAAGTGAAACAATAGTAAACCATTTGATTGACTGATTCGATCCACAAAAACTCATTCTTATACAGGTAAGAACGATGATTAACATATATTTTAACCTATAATATGAAATCAAACAGACAATGGTAAACCATTTGATTGACTGATTCGATCCACAAAAACTCATTCTTATACATGTAAGAACGATGATTAACATATATTTTAACCTATAATATGAAATCAAACAGACCTAGAAAAATCTAATTGCACGAGTTCGCTATCTGTTTATATCTATATTTATGTTTATATCGGGTTATATGACCGTCGGCAGTCTTCGGAAGTCACCTCGATGGTTAATTAGATGGCGTTTAGACTAAAATACATGCGAAATGCTGATCTATATTATCAAGCCCATGCATTGTAAATTGTTTATTGTAGACTTTTTATAATTTAGATATACGTTTTATTATGTTATAAATCAAATATGAGAATTTGAGTCAAATCTGTGAACATGAATTTGACAGCTAATGCCCCCTTAAGGTTGAATGTATAAAACAGGAGATTGAATCTGTATGCAGGGTTTCTGTTTATACAATGTACTTTGATAATAATTTTAAACAAATTTTATATATGAAGTCTGTCAATTACATAATTTAGACTGACATAGTGGAAACTTCCTGTTACAGTTGATATTTTTCTCTGCTATGTATTATCATATGCATATGATAGATAAATATTTTAAGTTATTAAACAAAGAAAAGTATTTCTTATTTACATAATATAGGTTAATGGTGATAGGATACATGTATCGATGTTTATGATATATTATTATTTACTGAGCTATTAATCCTCGCATTACAAAAATGTGAAACAATATATATATGTATGCTGACAGAATATTGCCACTTTGATTTACATTTTTAAGATATTATACATAAAGGCAACAGTAGTATATCCTGTTCAATAGTCATAATTTGATTAGGAAAAAACAAATCCGGGTAACAAACTAAAACCGAGGGAAACACATCAACTATAAATATACATGTGTTAATCTGCTATTGCTCTCTACTAAGGGAAGCAACTTATGCCTATTATTTTAACGCAATTACATGCACAGTCATCAAATGATTCCCATTAAATTATATATCTGAATTTAATTTTTTATTGATCTATGGAACAATCTATGCAGACAGAATCTACATGTAGCTATAGTCAATTACACAGATTTGAATATATATTTTAACTTTTAA